GGCAGGGGCTTCTGTCCACTGCCTGCAGGCTGCCTGGTAGATGTAGCTGCCTTGGCAGCAGCAGGCTGCTTGGTGACGGCTGCTGGCTTACTCGAAGAATTCTGGGTGGCGCTGGCTGGCTTGGCAGGAGCTTCATCCTCGGAACTGTCAGAGTCTGAGCTGTCTGAAGAATTTTCTGCTGTCTTCTTGGCTGGAGCCGATTTAGGAGTCACTTTACAGACAGCTGCTTTAGGTGGGAGTTTCTTCTCATCCTCAGAGCTTGAATCAGACTCATCACTGCTGTCCTCAGGCTCTTTCTTCTTTCTGGGTTTCTTAGGAGGCTGAGTGGCAGAGGACTTCTTTGGTGGGGAAACAGAAGGTGGGAGGATGGAACTGTAAGGACCTGGTTTTTTCTTTACGGGTTTCTTCTGCTCTTCTTCCTCCTCACTGGAGGAGTCCTCACTACTTGAACTCTTTGGGGTGGGGGTGGTAGCAGCTTTCACGGGAGGCTTGGTCATGATTTGGGTTTTGGGTAAAGTCTTCTTAGAGATAGCTGCTGGCGTCTCATCCTCTGAGTCACCGCTGCTGCTGCTGCTGCTGCTGCTGCTGCTACTACTGCTAGCTGCTTTCCCATTAGCAACTTTAGGTGCTGCCTGAGTTCGTGTTCCTTGCTTGGTGGGGGCTTTAGCTTGGGCTTTAGCTGCTACCGGGGTTGCCTTTGGCTTCTGATTCTTCGGTGCCTCATCCTCTGAGCTAGAATCAGAATTAGAATCAGAGCTCTCAGTTTTCTCCGGGGGAGTTTTGACTGCTTTAGCTTGGGCTTAACTCCTTTCTGGACAGATTTTTTTTGGTCATCCTCTTCCTCGTCCTCTGAATCACAGGAGTCGTCACTGCTGCTGCTCTCTGATGCTTTAGCTGCAGCCTTTCCAGGATGCTGAGGCAGACCTGCCCGCTTAGCAGCTACTGCAGCTTTCTTGGCTGGAGGCACTTGGGATTCTTCCTCTTCACTGCTGTCACTAGATGAAGACTTCGTCTTAGCCTTCTTAATGACTGGCCCATTTGCCTGTAGCTTCCCTTTTGGGGCCTTGGCGGACTTGAGCCAAAAACTATAGATGTCCAAGAGGGAAGAGGCGTTGGCATCTTGATGGGTAGTGCCTGTTGCCTTGGCGAACTTGTTGGCCACTTCTGACAGCTGGTTTTCCCGCAGGAAGCAGAGAATGAGGGGATAGAGGTCGCTGGGAAGCATGCGAGGCAAGCCGGCATCCGCCATGCTCTAGGATACACACGTCGCTATGAAGTAGGTTTTAACTGCCAACTCTGTGGTTAGTAGCCAAACACAAGTAATTTGCACCACCCACGGACACTTGGGGTAAAATGATTTCAAATACTAAAGTTCAGGTGTGATGTGTTGTACTGCTACTAATAGCTTCACAGGCGAGAAAGGGGCCATCTATTCCTATTAAGACTTAGAGCAAATCCCAGAGGCGAGCGGTTCAAATCCAATAGATGGTCTGCTGGAGAGGAAGGACAATCTCCTCCCGTACCAAACAGATCCAATTTGAAATTTATTTTATCAGAAATGAGTATCACTACTCCTGTTTTTTTCTGGTTGTCATTTGCTTGGTATATTTTTTTCCCCACCCTTTTATTTTTAGTCTTTATCTTCATTTCTCAGGTGTGTCTCTAGTAGACAACATATTAATGAACTTTTTAAAAAAAAATCCAATCTGCTACTCTTTTGAGAGGAAAAGTTTTATTGCTATCATTTTGTTGAGTTTTTTGGTGTTGTTGCTAGTTCCTTTGGCCCATCCTGATTTCTGTGGCACTTCTGTAAGGATGCTTCTCAGTGTTTCCTGCAATGCTGATCTTGTTTTTACAAACTCTTAGGTTCTATTTTTCTGGGAATATACTGATCTCTCCTTCATATTTGACGGACTGTTTCTCTGGGTATTCTTGGTTGACAGGATTCTTGGTTGACAGTTGTGCTCTTTGAGTGCTGGATATATGTCATTCCACTGTCTTCTTGCTTGCTGGTTTCTGCTGAGAAATCGGCACTTAATTTTATCTGCTCTCCCTTATAGGTTACTCTATTTTTCCCTCACTGCTTTCAGAATTCTCTCCTTTAGTTCTGGCAAATTTGACTATGATGTGCCTTAGTGTTTTTCTTTGGGGGTCTATTCTATATGGTGTTCACTCAGCTTCTCGAATATATATTCTCTCATTCTATATTATGCCTGGGAAATATTCTTCTAGTTATTCTTCCACAACTTTTTCGATGCCTTTACTTGCTTCCTCCTGTTCTGGGATCACAATGATGTATG